TCAATTGGAGTTCTTGCACTTCTAAATTCCAAGTGTTTGAATTTTTCAAGTACCATTTTCACGTAATGTGATTGAGACAAAGCTAGACCCTGAGGAGTCCTCTGGATTTTAATTCCTAGAATTACATCGGCAACTCCTAAGTCTTTCATATCAAACTTACTAGCAAGCATACGCTTAGTAGCTTGAATGTCAGCAATATCTTTGCTCAGTATTAGCATATCATCAACATATAAGCAAACAATGACTATATGATTTGGAACGTTCTTAATGTAAACACATTTATCACATTCATTAATCTTAAAGCCATTTGACAACATTGGTTGGTCAAATTTCGCATGCCATTGCTTGGGTGCTTGTTTTAGTCCATAAAGAGACTTAACAAGTCAACACACCTTCTTTTCTTTTCCCGGAATCACAAACCCTTCAGGTTGGTCCATGTAAATTTCTTCCTCTAAATCACCATTTAAGAAGGCTATTTTTACATCCATTTGATGGATTTGAAGATCATACAAGGCGGCTAACGCTATTAGCATCCGAATGGATGTAATTCTTGTTACCGGCGAGTATGTGTCAAAATAGTCAAGACCTTCTCGCTGTCTAAATCCTTTGACAACAAGTCTTGCCTTGTATTTGTCAATAGTACCATCGTCTTTCATTTTCTTTTTGAAAATCCATTTAGAACCCAATATTTTGTTACCTGGAGGAAGATCAACCAATTCCCATGTATGGTTGCTCAATATGGATTCTATTTCACTATTGACAGCTTCTTTCTAATATTGTGCTTCTGAGGAAGACATTGCTTCCTTGAAGGTACCAGGCTCATTTTCTAGCAGGAAAGTCAGAAAATCTGGACCGAATGAAGTAAATATCCGTTGACGTTTACTTCTTCTCGGATTTTCCTCATTAGGCATACCATCTGTTATTTCCTCCCGAGGTCGTTTTGACTTTTGGTAGGTTACTTCACTTTCCTTTTTATACGGATAAATAGTTTCAAAGAATTCAGCATTATCTGATTCTATTATCGTATTAACGTGAATCTCAAGATTTTCTAACTTATGAACCAGAAAACGATATGCCTTGCTATTGGTTACATATCCAATAAATACACAATCAACCGTTTTTGGACCTATCTTAATCGTTTTAGGTTTAGGAACTTGTACCTTAGCTAAACACCCCCACACTTTGAAGTATTTCAAGCTGGGGTTTCTTCCTTTCCATTTTTCATAGGGAATGGACTGTGTTTTACTATGAGGTACACAGTTGATTATTCGGTTAGCTGTAAGTATAGCTTCCCCCCACAAGTTCTGTGGTAAACCAGAACTTATCAACAACGCATTCATCATCTCTTTCAACGTTCGATTCTTTCTCTCTGCAATTCCATTAGATTGTGGAGAGTAAGGGCAATTGTTTGGTGAATAATGCCATTTTCCAAACATACTTATTCAAAAGGAGATTCATATTCTCCACCCCTATCACTTCTTATCATTTTGATATTTTTGCTTAGTTGTGTTTCAACTTCACTCTTGTATTGCTTGAAAGCATCAATTGCCTTATCTTTACTATTAAGTAAATAAATATAGCAATATCTCGTGCTATCGTCAATAAAAGTAATAAAATACTTTTTTCCACCGCGAGATGGTGTTGACTTCATGTCACAAATATCTGTGTGAATTAAGTCTAAAGGACTTGAATTCCTTTCAACGGACTTATAAGGATGCTTAGCATACTTTGATTCCACACATATTTGACATTTGGAATTAATGCAATCAAATTTTGGCAATACGTCTAAATTTATCATTTTTCGCAATGTTTTAAAGTTGACGTGACCTAAGCGTGAATGCCATAAAGTGTTTGACTCAAGTAAGTAAGACGAAGCATTAACTTTATTGATAGGAACTGCTATTACATTTAGCTTAAAAAGACCCTCATTCAGGTAACCTTTTTCTACATACATATCATTCTTACTTAGTACAACACTATCAGAAACAAAAATACATTTGAATCCATTCTTGACAAGAAGTGAGGTAGACACCAGATTCTTACGAATTTCTGGAACATGGAGAACTTGGTTTAGAGTCACAATCTTTCCCGACGTCATCTTCAACGCAATCTTGCCAACTCCTAATTTTGGCTGTAGACGAATTTCCCATAAAAATTGTCTCGTCGGGTCCTGCGGGGGCATAAGAAGAAAATAACTCCTTGTTAGCGCAAACATGGCGGGTGGCTCCAGAATCAATCCACCATTCTTTAGGATTTCCTACCAAGTTGCATTCAGACAACATGGCACACAAGTCCTCCATTTCTTCAGCATTTTCAACCATGTTATCTTGATTCTTTTTCTTCTTATCATTCTTTGGTGCACGACAGTCCACGGCCTTATGCCCAGACTTTCCACAATTGTGGCAATTACCCTTGAACTTTTTCTTGCTTGGATAATTCTTTGGTCCAGAAGCCTTCTTTCTCTTCTTATTTTGTGGCGCCTCCTCAACAATGTTAGCCCTTATTATTGTCGAGTTGCCACGTGACTTCTTTTCAGCATTTTTGTTATCTTCTTCTATCCTCAAACGAACAATCAAGTCTTCAAGCGTCATTTCCTTACGCTTGTATTTTAGATAGTTCTTAAAGTCCTTCCACATCGGAGGTAACTTCTCAATGAAAGCGGCGACTTGAAAGGCTTCATTAATGACCATACCTTCAGCAAGGAGGTCATGCACAATAACTTGTAATTCTTAGACTTGAGTTATGACCTGCCTAGTGTCAATCATCTTAAAATCCAAAAACCTTGCAGCCACGAACTTCTTAAGTCCGACATCCTCAGTCTTGTACTTTTTCTCAAGCGCATTCCATAACGCTTTTGAAGTTTCCATGACACTATAGATATTGTACTAGCTATCTTCCAAACAACTCAAAATGTAGTTTTTGCACAAGAAATCAGAATGTTTCCATGCTTCAGTTACAACAAATTGTTCGTCATCCGGAATGCCTTCAGCCAGGACCGGAGGATCCTCCTTGATAAATCGCTGCAAACGCAACGTAGTAAGATAGAAGAGCATCTTCATTTGCCAACGTTTGAAGTCAATACCGGAAAACTTTTCGGGTTTTTCTGCTGGTGCCATAGCATGAGCAGGAGTTGAACGGCTTGACGAGGCAGCAACACTCGTAACAGTAGCACCCGTTCCCGCAACATTTCCATTAGTTTGGTTTTCATTCGTCATTTTTCTGTAAAGTTGAAAATAAAACAGAACTTGGTTAAATCAGTAAAGTTTTGATATCTTCAAACTGAATACCAAACCAAACATACAACACGTAACAATGGTGAAGTTTTTATATACTTCAAACCCGTACGTTTATTATTCCGGTAAAGTTTTGATATACTTTAAACTGGAGAGACCAATTATTGGAGTAGAAAGCACGAAGGCTTTAGTCTCCAAACCAGTATACAAAATATAAATAACAGTTTAATATATATTTCAACACAGAAACGTTAGTAAAAAATTCCTTAAGCTTGTTGTTGCTACTATGTTAAAACGCAAAATCAGAAAACTGTTAGAAGAATAAAAGAAATTGGAAAAACAATAAATATTAAGAAATATTCCGAGTCCACAATTTGCTTGTGCGTCCTTAAGGAATTTTAACCCCCTCACACGTTGCCAAGGTAATGGATTAAATCCTCCCAGGATAAAACGGAATAAACCTTCCTGCAACAGTGGCAATACAAACTGCAGGATACCAACAAACTTAAAGAACGGAGCAAAATCACACTTACGAATTTGAGAGAGAGAGACTGCGAATTAGAATGCAGTATTTTCAGAAAGAAGGAAGTTCTGTAATGTTTTTGGTGTGTTAAAAACGAAGCCATGCCTCAAAATTTATAGGCAATTATTGAAAGAGGTGTGATGTTTGTTCCGCAAAAGGTGCCTTTTCAGAAGTTTACGCGGCCTGCCGCGGTTACGCCAGGACCGCGGCCAGAGTGGCCCTCTGAATCTGCAGCAGGGTTCTGGCGCGGTCCTACCGCGGTTACGCCAGGACCGCGGCCAGAGTGGCACTCTGAATCTGCAGCAGGGTTCTGGCGCGGTCCTACCGCGGTTACGCCAGGACCGCGGCCAGACTATCCTTCTGAATCTTCAGCAGTGATCTGGCATTTAATTAATTAAATAATTAATTAAATAAATTTTGTCCAAAAAATAATCTTATCGATCATTTGACAAAGCCGAAGACGAGCCAAGCGAGCGACGACGACGGCGCGAGGTTTCATTCTCTTCAACTCCTTTTAAGAGCTTTAAGAAGTGATTCTATATATAAGCACACAAATGTAGTTGTCCCTCATCAATGAGGGACAAAGTGCAAGTCAAAAGCTCACTTCATTCAAATTTTCATTTCCCTCCATTTTATTTCCCACCATTTCCAATTCACACTTTTATACTTTAAAGCCCAATGCTTAAAGTCTTTGAAAGTCAATGCCTTTAAAGTCCAACAAATCTTTAGTCTATACTAAAGATTATCTGTTTAAAATACGATAGAATTGTTGAAAATAATTAACTATAAACCCATAACTCAAATAAAATAGTGTGTTGGGAAATTGGAAGTTAATCGTGAACCCATAAAATTAAAATTTTGAATCCACTCTAATGATAAGGATGCATTGCGCATAAGATTTCTTTCTTGGCCCTTCCCTCAATTGGGTTTTACATTACAGTTTAAGAAATCCGTAAGATAACTTGAAGAAAATTGAGACGGTTTTTCTTTTTCAGGTCGATAGCTCTTTTTCTTCAAGCAAGTGAACAAAGAATAAAAAGAAGTGACTGCCCCAAGTAGAAAAAGAGATTTTTATCTTTGAGCTGTCATTAAAAATGTGATTATGATTGGGAAACCAACAGTTTTGGTAGCAGCCCACACTAACCTTAAAACCAATTGGTTAAACATAATGGGAGTAGTAAACTAAATAGGAAATATACCTTTTAACATGTATTGCAAATCCAATTCAACAACTCTTATTGCTTGACGTATCTCATTATCTTTTTCTTATTTTAGTTCCACTCTCATTCTTCTCTTGGTTCACACTAATATCCAAGTAATAGAGAACAGTTCCACTGCCAACCCCACTGTATATTACCCACTTTGATCAAATTCTTTTTGTTTTTCAAGTTCATTTGCCACTCTTCTCTCCTTTGGCTTCCAAAAATAGCAAACAGAACCACTTCTTGGTGGTCTTTACTTTGGTTTCTTAGGATCACTCTGCTTTGTTTGTTTACTTCATCTGTTAAGCTTCTTTCCCCTGTTTTCTGATAGTCTTTTCAGTTTTTTGCTACTATTTTTCTTTCTACTCATTGGGAGGGTCTAGGTGGGGTTATGCCTGAGTAGTAAAATCAGTTGCTTTTTGCTATTTATTTCAAAGATTCTTTAGCTCTGGGTATTCCAATTCCCAGTATATGATTCTGAATTTAAAGCCTATCATATATAAAAAAAATTCTTATCTTTTTTTTCTATTCACACAACACATTAATTGTCTTTAACGAATGGAAATAAGTATAGTCCATTCTAAGTCTTCATAAGCAAATTCAGGATATTGAAATTGTCAAAAAGAAAATGGAAACTTTGTCGCCTACTTCGCTTATACCAAATTCAAGCTGGATGATGATGGAACAGAGGAAAAGCAGTGAATGGACACAAGAAGAGAACAAGAAGTTTGAAAGTGCACTTGCGATATACGATGAGACAACTCCGAATAGATGGTTTAAGGTTGCGGATTTGATACCTGGGAAGACAGTGTATGATGTGATGAAACAGTACAAAGAATTAGCAGCAGATGTTAGTGACATAGAAGCTGGATTATTCCCAGTTCCTCGTACGTATTTTGCCTCGTCTTTTATGCTTGATTTGGTCGATGATCATCATTATCATCATCATCGCGGTGTTCAAGCGTTTAGAAAGAGAGGCAGATCTTCTGATCAAGAAAGAAAAAAAGGTGTCCCATGGACTGAGGAAGAACACAGGTGCACAACTACCTTTTCTAAATTTACTATCTATTGTTTCCAATTTCATCTAGTGTAACTGATCCTACATGTGAATTTAGAGCCAATTCCAATTCTGATAGCATAGTATAGCATCCATAGCTTGGTAAATGACCTGTTACAGTCGATAAAGCTAACCTGATAGTGTAAAATTTTTCTTAACAATGGTGTTATAGGCGGTTTCTGATGGGACTCGACAAGCATGGGAAAGGGGACTGGAGGAACATATCAAGGAATTTTGTGATCTCAAAAACGCCAACGCAAGTGGCGAGTCATGCTCAAAAATACTATTTGAGACAGCTTTCAGGAGGAAAAGATAAGAGGAGACCTAGCATTCATGACATTACTACTGTCAATCTCACCAACATCGACTTGTCCGACAACAATCTAAACAACAACAACAACAATAATAAATCTCTATCTTCTTTCGCGGTCAACATCCCATTTCAGAACTCAAATGATGGAGCCTTGATGGCGTTTGGATCGTCTTATAACAGCAGCTCGTACACCTATGAGCTTGGTTCAGTACTGTCTCGGGGTAGATATGGAACTGACAATATTAGTGCTAATGACAATTCTCAAATACAGCGATATCAGATATGGGGTTGAACAGTTCAAGAATGTCCACCTTGGATTTTGGTTTTGTGATTTTAATGTGGTGTAAATCTTGAGTAGTTATTACTTGGCAATTAGGCCTACTCTCTTTGTGCTGCTTTCAGACTTTACCAATGAAATCGACTGAAGTTTGTCAATTTGCCTCCTTTTTCTTGAATGCATACATTGATTCATTTCCTGCGTGGTTTACATATTTTACCACCATGGTCTTAGTATGTATCTAATTAAATATGAATTAAACCAAGGGCTATGATAGGATGAATAACATCTCTTCACCGTTAATCACATGTTTCATGTTCAAGTCCTGAAAATAAAATAAAATTTTTGGTAGAGAGCATTTTTTCGCAAATTCCGATTAATCAAGTCCCAAAGCAGATACCCAATGCTGAGTGAGAAACAAACTTATATTTGAACTTATAAATCATTATCTAATTTCTTCTAAGATGATAATTTAAATTGAAAGCTCTAAATATATAATAATCTGGTTCATTTTAACTGCTAAAGCAGGCTGAGGTTCTTTCAATGCTCGAATCTTTGGGTATTGTATAATGCAAGCGATAAATTAAGTGTAATCTTTCGCTTATTGATTAATTATTCGTCCCTCCTTTTTATTTTGTTCCCCAAGTCGTGATCAAAGAATATTTGAAGAGCCACACCCACACCCCTAAAATTACAAGTTTACACTAATGCAGGACTTTTCCTTTTATTAAAGGCAAAATGGAAAACTCATAATTATGAATCCGCCCTAAGTCCTATTGCCTCGTGCATGTATAAATTAGTGGAAAGTTGGTGGGATCCATTTTCATTTTTTGAGATTTTTTCGTACTAAAAGACATAAGTAGGCAAGAAGACATGTCACACTAGAAGTTGTGGCTAGGGTGTTCATGGTTCGATTTGGATCGATTTTTTCCTAAAAGAAAATCAAACCAAGTAAGTCGGTTTTTCAAATATTGGAACCAAACCAAATCAATTAAGTCGGTTATTAATCGATACGTTTTTTCGGTTTTTCCGGTTATTTATTGGTTTTTTGCTTAAATATGAGACATACACTACCAAACACATATTCCGGCGACTACATTTTCAACGAACACTTACAAATCAATTGCTCTTTGAGAAATCTATCATTTACCAAAATATATTGATGATAATTGAATCACATAGTGATGAATAATTTAAGTACTCAATAAAAAATCAATTATTTTTAACATGAACTAAATTCTTGTATTTAGCAAAAGAAAACTACCAATCAAACTAGAATGTAAAGGCAAAAAATCAGATTATTATAATAGCAAAGAATTAGACTAAAAATACAAATGATTAATATGTACTATAAAATTTTAGAAACTTTATATAAAAATATACACATATATAGGTGTAATAATAAATTTAAATAGCTACTTTTATAGTCGGTTTGGTTCGGTTTTTTTCGGTTATTTTTTTATTAAAACCAAAACCAAACCAAATTTGATCGGTTTTTAAAATTTAAAACCAAAACCAAACCAAAACCAAACCAAACCTAAAAAGTATCGGTTTTTTGATCGATTTAATTTGATTTTCGGTTTAATTTGATTTTTCGGATTTTTATGAATACCCTTAGTTGTGGCTGATTTAGCTGACTCAATCAATGTTGTCGGGTTGCACCATTTGATTGAAATTCCAAAGTATGTGATTGGGAAGAGGGTGGAATTAGAAAAGAGTATGCAATTTGGCCAAGTTGACCCTTTTGATCCTGCCGGTCTACTTTCTAGAGGTTGCTGCTGAGTCTGCATTCCACTTGTCTCAGTATTATCCTCTTTCTCCCTAGTTCACATCAATGTCATGTATTACTTCCTCTGTTTCAATTTATGTGAATCTGTTTGATTGGCATGATATTTAAGAAAAAAATAATTTTTTAAACTATGCTCTTAAACATATTAAAAAGGGGTCCAGAATACTTATGTGGTTATAAAAGTTTCATATTAAGGGTTTTAAGTAAAACTGTTTCCAAATTCAGAAAGGGTTCATTTTTTTTGAAACGAACCAAAAAGAAAATAGATTCACATAAATTGAAACAGGGAGTACAATTAACGCTTCCGCGGTATTTTTATTTTAAGAATGCTATGGAAGAAAAATATGTAATTTATGGAGGTTGCAATTTTAGTTGCTTGCCTTATGAAAATTGACTTGTACACTGCTCGTCCCAGTTTATGTGACAGATTTGATATAAGAAATTTAAAGGAAGAGATAAATATAGACTTTCTAAACTTATTTTTAAAATATGCTAAAAATATTTTTTGCTACAATATCATTTTATTAAGGGTAAATGAAGAGTCTAAAATTAAATTATTTTTAAATATAAAATATATTATTTCTTTGGAATAGACTACAGATTAAAGTGCGTCACATAAGAGGACATAGTAAATAATAATTTGTACTTCTATTTATTACTTCTTCAAATTTGTCATAGAAAGAGTACTTCGATTTACTATAATGTAAAGATATCTTGTAATAATTATAATTAAATTAAGAATTTGAATTACTAATTACTAATTAATAATAAGATAATATTTATTATTAATAGAATTTGAGATTCTTAGTATAGAGCTAAGTATCTATATATCTTAATCTACTTGAGTAGGTATAGTAAGTGCAAAGAATGTAAAATTGTAGAACTAAATAAATGGACTTATTCATCTCCTACATGAGAAAGATATGTATGATAATAAACTTTAGTAAAATTGTGAAGATATGATTATTCCCTTAAACAAAAGTATGTTTTTTTTTTGTAAAAAGAGTGTCACGATCCAAAATCTCACTAAGTCGTAATGACACCTAACCCGACCTGCTAGATAAGCCTAACGGTATAAGTCATTACTATAAATGTACTAAGAAGTGACAACAACAAGCAACATCAAGAGCATAGGTATAACAATAACAACTCAGGATAAAGGTATAAATGTACACGCAAGGGAAAGGTAACACACTATAATGCATGTCTCTCGTCCTCACCTGCACGACATCACCCTTCGTGCTTTCACTCTCTTCCTCACATGATAATATAAAAATAATGGCACGACATCACCCTTCATGCTTTCACGCTCATCCTCACATGATAAAGTAAAAATAATGGCACGACATCATCCTTTGTGCTTTTACTCTCATCCTCATATGATAATGTAAGAACAATAGAACGACATCATCCTTCATGCTTTTACTATCATCCTCACATGATAATGTCAAGACAATGCACGACATCACCCTTCGTACTTTACGCTCTTTCTCACCAAGCACATATATATCAACAACAAGCAAGGTAGAAGCATAGATAACATGAAGAAGGGTTGTTAAGCAAAATACACCACGTGAACGACAATCACAGCTCTTGCACCAATAACAACTCAACAAACTTCAAGAACCCCATTATTCAAGTATCTCAACAAAGCTCAAACATGATCTTCAATATAAGCGTGGAACATAAGTATCTCAAGAATAACAGACATAGACATGTATTCGTGATTTAAGTATAGTTATGACCGAATTTAGCACATCAACAATTTCACAAAGAGTCCATCATATTTAATCAAGTTGTAGTAGGCTGAAGCATGGTCTCTTATTGTCACGACCCAAAACAATGTGACAACACCCGACATACTACCCAATCTGGATGGACCAACCCATATAAGAATACCCATCTATATGCCTAATAAATGTATGCGAAAGCCTTTTTGAAAACACAATTATTTTAAATAATTAAGACCATACATGAAACATAATCTTGCCAGGCAAACCGACAATCATATAACACTTAATCATTTGAATAAAATATATTTTAATAAACTCAACAACAAAAATCTCATGAATATCTGATCCAAATAACTGAAATACTACTACAACTACCCCAAAATCTGGTGTCAACAAGCACATGAGCATTTGTCAAGACCCTACCGACCCGGTCGTGATGGCGCTTATCGTGAAACTAGGCCAGCCGACACAACTCCCGAATTTACATTTAATCAATAACAATCATTTTTAAGCCTTTAATTAATCAGATATCTCATAATGTAAGTCTAAATAAATAATGCGGAATAAATACACAAGCCCGACATCGGGGTGTCACAAGTCACGAGCATCTACTAAGGTCTGAATACAACGAAGAGCCTGAAAATATACTATAACAAGCTAAGGGAGATAAGAGGGAGAGAGCAGGGCTGCGAACGCCGGGTAGCTACCTTGCTAACTCCGATGACTCTGCCACTGAGCAATCAACACCCGCTACCGGGTTCAGAAATACCTAGATCTGCACACAAGGTGCAAGGAGTAATGTGAGTACGCCAACTCAGTAAGTAATAAAAGAAAATGAAAGCTGAGCAGTAAGAAAACACGTAAGCCACGTCATAACGCTACAGCAAATGCAGTACATTTTCAAAACAATACAGAAATCGTTTACTCCGTAAATCATGCTCAGTTTCAGTAAACCTTTTAAAATAACTTTCAATAGTTTCAAACGAGTGATAAAATAGTGAGTAAAAAATGAGAGATACATAAACAGCCCCTCGGGCAAAACATGTACCATAAATAGCCCCCCAGGCATAATATCAACAGAACCAGCCCCTCGGGCTACCTCACAATCACTCGTAATCAGCCCCTCGGGCATAACATGAATCAAGAACCTCCCCTCGGGCAACATAGATCAAGAACAGACCCTCGGGCAACATAGATCAAGAACAGCCCCTTGGGCTTCAATATGAAACAATAACAGCCCCTCGGGCTACAACACATCACTCACACTGGGTACCCACACTCACTAGGGGTGTACAAACACCGGGAGGGGCCCCTTACGGCCCAAGCGCAATAATAAGCCAACTCGTGGCATAATCAAATAGGCTCTCGGCCTCATATCAATCACAAGCCACCTCGTGGCATAATAAATCAGGCATTCGGCCTCTCATATATCACAAATCAGTACCACATGCTGCGGCGCGCAGCCCGATCCAATGATATCATCACAACACAGGCCCTCGGCCTCACTCAGTCAGATCTCACTTAAGCCCCTCGGGCTGACAGTAAAACAAGTACTCAGCTCAAAAATCATTTATGAAATCAAAAAGGAGTGAATAAAACCGAGTTATGAAAACAGTAAGAACATAGCATGACTGAGTGTAACATTAAACCAAAACAGTGAGGAAAAATAATAGTAAA